TTTCAGTAGCCATAATAAAAAATAAAAAATAAACTTACCTTATTATTTTTCAATTATTTTAGTGGATTAAGAAATAATAATAAGGTTGTATTTACTTTTTAGGTTTTGATGATGCAGATCACTCTTGCATCAACCATTATAATTTACTGCTTTCAACTTAGTTAATGAACAAAGTATTTTAAAACATTTAAATTTTTATGATCCTCTTTAATTAATTATTTTTTTTCCACCCGAGAATAGTTGTTCTATCCCTTTGAGCAACAAGAAAGGTGCCCTTCAACTTGAACAAGAACTTCACAACGTGGACGAAAGTAAATGACGAAAACAACCTCTGTGGGTTCATTTCATTTTAACAATAGGAACAACCTCAGTGGGAAGCACAGTGGCGCCTCCCAACTTTTATGACTAACCAGAATATTCTTTATATGCCAATGTGTGTTGCCTGTTTAACATTTTCCACAGCTAGTTCTGATAAATAATACAAGAAATTGAAGTGATCCAATCTGGCTGCAATTAATTCTTTTTGGCTTCTAAAGAAGCACAACAACTAAAAATGTAGCAAAATTACAAGCCTCAAAAACAAAATCGGAAAACAAAATTATAACGTGGATGCAGTTACTAATTTATGATCTGACATATGCTGAATGAAAATTTCATTCTCGATTTTGGTGTATAGTATTAGATAATACTCAACATGACCACATGCGAGATTTTGGACTCTTTTTCTTCTCTAATCGTGCCTTCAAGTATTATCGTGAAAAAGTCTGATGACTTGAATCCCCCCAAAAAAAATCAGCCTCGCTACTTGGACTGTTTGTTGACATGAGATCATCTCTTGGCTGAGCTGAAAAAAACAGAGGAAAAGATGTCGTCGATGACAAAGAGGAAGATTGAAAACTCGAACACGTTGATGACGAAAACAAGTGATCCAACAAACTTGGCTGTCTTTGAATATGATGATCAAGATTCGTGAACTCTTGTCTGTTGGGAATAATACTTTGAGCTTGAGTATGAACAATGGGTTCGGATGAAGTCGAAACTGAAAAAAGTGTATTTGGAGATAACGAAATGCTCGACAGGGATGAAGAAGATTGCAAGAGCCTGACATTTTCTGGGAAATTTAGT